ACGTGTGCTCTTCCGATCTGAGTGACTTTTCACTCTTTTGGAGTGAATCTCACTCCAGAAAATTTAGAGAGTTCCATGTAAAGAAAAATAATTGCATTGAAATTTTTGAGAACATTCCTGTCTAAGATTTTTCATATATTATATTTTTAACGTTTTTCACTTTAATAACTCATCTACTCAAATTGTATCCTGATCTGACAGCCCGATTAACGGATTACATTACTCGCACCTTCTTCCGTTTACAAACTACTCATCCCCGCGGGCAGTCCAGCCTGTCGTGGTGATTCTGTCGAGCGATCCGTATAACCATTCAGGTGCGCGCAACGAGGAACGTCAGCGCGTATTCATCGTCCCTGAATTGCGAATGGATACGAGCGATCCATATATCAGAAAGTCAGCGGCGCCCCGGGTGTGCCCCCGTGGCTTCCCGGTGAGCGCGAGAAACACACTCGTCCTCGCGCGGGGGAAACGCAAGAGATCCCCCGAAGGTGAAGCGATATCTCGCGTAAGGCAGGAGGGAAGGTGGCCGGGCTATTAGGGGGCTCTAAGCGCTTTTTAAAACCGGATTCCGGGAGGAACGTATCGAGTGTCGGACGCGCAACAATGACGCGGGCAAACATTCCGATATACAGGCCCACCCGCGGCGTGCGTCGATGCACAAGGGACGCGATCTGCGACATGGACGGCGCAACACACAGGTAATGTTTGGACGCGCGTACATATAGAAGGCGAGAAGAATGAATGGTGATGGCGAAAGCGGAAGAATTTGTATTCGCTGACAGCGATTTCCTCGGAATGACAGCTATTAGGGAGTTGAAGCGATTGTAAATTTATTGGGAGTTCAGATAGGCATAAATCCGATCGTTATACGATATATGAACATAAGAATTGTTAATATATGTATATATGTAATATCTGTTGAATGAATTAAAAGAAAGTATAAGAAACAGCTATGTCGCGATCGGCCTGATCGACTTCATCATGTACTCAAAACATCCCGCCTTAAAGATATAGTCAAGTTTTGTTAAATTATATGCAAAGAAGATACTGTTATTTGAATAAATTTGAATAGTAAATTCTTTATTTTTATCTTACCTTCAGAAAACAATTTAAAACGAAATAATCCGTTTGTTTTGTCGTCAAGTGCAAAAGTAGAAGCGACAAAGGATGTCACGAATATTTGGCGGGTGTAGTCGACTTAATGATATTAGATTATCGATATAACCCGAGAGATTAGGGGTAGGATTTTCCCATTTGTAATCCGGGTGCATTTGAGTAACCGTTAAACCCAAGGTTACCCTTCGATTATGAGGTTTGAAACAGGCTGACAGCAGAAACCACCTGCCAACCTGCGGAGGAGAATAAAAAGCTAAACAAGGATGAAATCGTAAGACGCGTTATTTGTTTTAAAGAAGAATTTAAAGTCCATAGAGTTTTCCTTTCAATTTAAAAACTCTAAGAAAGTGCTTAATGGGAAAAGATCTGAAAGGATGAAACGGCGTAGCTGGAAGAAAGAGGAACTTTTAAAAGAGAGACTTGGGAACGAAGTTTCGTATCTTCGGAAAAGAACGACGAAACTTACAGTACAGTGCACAAAGAGGGACAGAGAGACTGGGAAGAAAGCTTCGTGTTCTAGAGAAAGAAACTCTAGAGGGCTCGCGATCATATATCTGTAGAACGGTAGGGGGGTGTCAACGAGCCCGACAAAGTCCCAGCGGGGTTTCCGCTACCCGAATTGCTACCGGGACTCCCCGTGTGAGAATCTGGTACACTTAACGCTAAGCTACCGCAGTAGCTCCCGGATTATCCAGTTCTGTCAGTTGCGATCGTATCCGTGTCACGTCCCGGACGGAAGTTAACATTCGCGTGCCACTCATAATCCGCCTTCGAATCTAAAGTTCGCCTATTGGTGTGTGCTCAATTGCAATTAAGACTTGGAAGGAAAGTTAAAAAAGCCGAGATAATTTTTTAAAATAATTAAAAGAGAAGGCTATCTGTTTTGGCGAATTGTATACCCTTCTATATGTGCAATTAATTAATAAAATTCTTATCTTCCAAATTACATCATGTTTGATTAACATTAACATTAAGGATATTTAATAAAACCTTTACAACTTGAGGAAATACGTATTTTATATAATTCTAATTTAAAAACACAGAATCATACCAACAAATGTACATAATGTACTAAAACATTCTAATATTAATATTATTCTTAATTTTTTTGTTATACACAATTGTAAAGTATAAGAAAAATATTTATTGTCATTAATTTCTAGAAATATATAGTGACTTATGAAACAAATCAAATCGTATTATATATGAATCACTTTCAAAAATTCATAAATAAAAATATCTACAGCAGAATCATAGCTATTTGTCAATATCATGTTATATCATGATATTGAAAGACTCTTTTTTCAGTTGTGTTTTCTTAATCAATTAATCGTATACATATAATTATCGTGTAATACATTTAATCAGTTTTGTGAATCACTGTATATCCACAAAACAATTATTTTGCAAGCTATTGAAAAATTGTAAATAAAATTAGAGACACGAATTTGAATCAAATATATAAAAGATTTCTGAAATTAATTATATCCAATTTTTTTTTAATTTTTTGATTCGACGAGCATATCATCCTTTCATACTTCCCTCGGAATTACAGATTTATACGCAACCGCGAAACATCCCATAAAAACGTATTGTAATGAAAAAAAAGGCGGAAAAAGAGCACGAACCCAGAGACGCGTGTGCGTTTCCGAGGGCGAAAGGGCGCAACCCACCGTTCTTCCCCCTACGTCCTTTACAGCGCGTCGCATAAACGAGCAAGGGGGTTCTCTATTATACACGAGGGGTTGCAATCGGCTGGTGACGCCATCTTGAATTTAATCGCCGGGAAAATGGTGGTAGTCTCGAGGCAACGTTGACGGACGAATATCGTTGCCTGATTTAAATAACTAATTTAAAATATGAGCTCATACTTATGCGAGAAATGGTGCATAGATTTATCAGAAATATATTGCAATCATTGTTATTCGGACCGTAATGCAATATTATTATATTATTTATATTATTATAATATTAACAGAAAATGTAATATTGCTACGAATTTTTATAATTGATAATATTGATCAAAATAACGAATAATGATAAATAACGATACTTTGCTACCTGGAATAATTAAAACGGTAATACAAATTAAAAATTGTCATGTGCAATTTAAATGTCCAATTGTTGCAATAATAAAACCAATTATTTAACAATAAAATCAATCATTTTATATACATTTTGGAGTTATATATTTTAATATTATCTATTATTACTAAGATAAAAAATACATGCAACATCTTAGCAACTCTTAGTAAGAATAAACAAACGTTATCGATTTATAAATATTTATTTTAACAATAAATCCCTCAAATGTATAACAGATATAATATATAAAAGTAATAAATATATATAAAATATGCGTTTTTCAAACTTATTCAGTCTTTGAATATTTACACCTAACATACTAGACAATTTTATGTACATATATTTACATTTAACATATTTTCATTCAAAAAAATACATTACTACATCTAACTTATTCAAAGTATATAAGAACTTTAAGTATCATCTATACTCAATTAGTTATGCAAGGCAAGATACGGTAAAAGCCTGGAAGACTTCACGGCTGAAGAATTTAAGGCAATTTTGGTAAATCTGTTATGTTTATGCCTAGAACTGTTTAGAGTGACAATTAACGAAATAATAGCCGGGATGATTACCAACATTCGCTGAGAGGATATGACGCTAAAAAAAAGATGAATATTTATATGATCTTACATAAGTATATACACTATATTATGTTTCTCTCATATTATGTTTCTCTCATATCTTATAATATAGTGTACAAAAGTACTGTATTATAAGATAAAAAAAATAGAAAATAAAATAGAAAAGTTCACGGAAAGTTCATGTTCGTAAAACAGAAAGAAATAGAAATAAATTGTTCTACGATTAAATTGTAGTTGTAAGTTAAATAAATCGTGAATAAAAATATAAATTAGAATAAGTTAGAATTGTAAGTAGAAATAAACGAATGTAAAATGGAACATCTTGTAAACCAAAATCGGGAAACAATAATAAAATCTGTACATACATATACCTTATATTACGTAAGTATTTATATATTATATTATTATGTTAAATTGAATGACGCGTGAATCCATGTAAAAGCGATTGACTCATCATTAGTCAAAAGGCATCGAATTCTCGAGTTCGATCCCACGTATACCTTGCTTGTCTAATGAAATAGATTAGTGAAGTGTATGAGATAAATAATAAGTAAATGTTTTCAAAAAATTCACAAATTTTCAAGAGAACAGTTCGACAAACTTTAGACTGCACGATAATACCGCAGTGATAAGAGTTAATGTATGATACAGTGATATCCGACTAGTACATTACACTGTATAAAATACATGAAAATTACTTATTCTAGCTTATAAATAGATATAAAAATATCTATAGTCGCAACTCATCTAATTTACAATGTTGCAAGATATTCGCGTCGTTTTCTATATTGTACGAAAGAGAAAATTTTCGCGACTTGAATTAAGTCGGAATTCATGGTCTCACTATATATGTACATTCGGAATTAGCGATCTCCTTCACCGGATAAGACTCCTTGCTAACTAATGCAAAAACCTTTCGGAATATTCATCGAAGGTTTCCCTAAGAGTCGAGAGGTAGTGCACATTTGTTGTAAACGTTACAAAAGTTAAATTTGTTTATTATCAAAGTAATCGTCGCGCTCGATTTTCCACCGATGATCCAACGTCAGATCTGATAGAGATACGGCGAAAGTTCGGTAGTTTGTTGAAACGGATAGCTTAAAGAAGCGATCATGCCTAATGCCGCTGTCGAAACGCGATACGAATCGCGTACCTCGTGAGTCCTCATATGCTTCTTGAGGTGATCCTTGCGTCCGAATCGCTTCTTGCAAAAGACGCATGAGTAAGGCCGAACGCCCGTGTGAATTCGTTTGTGCCGAGTCAGTTCCTCATTTCTGGTGAACCGTTTCCCGCAGGACTCGACGTCACACTTGAAAGGCCTCTCCCCTGTTATAGAAATGAAAATTCTGCATGTTACGTTCAAACGTAATTCACGATCACTTACTTTTGCTTGTGATATAATTTATTCGAATAGTATCCAAAGAATTGCTCGATATTATTTTTCTCAAATAGAAAATTTAGAAAGATAATCATGGATGTTCGCGTATGAATTTATTGTGCGAAGCAATAACTTAAGCAATTAGCTAGAATCAAATATACATGAGTAGACGTGGAAACTCTTTTTATCGAATGATAAATCTCTCTGAGAATATTCACGAATTTTTTAAATGTGTGTGTTGTCTGCATAGAAATTGCAGACATTTTGCAAAGCATTTGTATGTAAAAAAAATATATAAAAATTAGATACAAAAGAAATATAAAGCACGAGAGCATGAGCTAAATCGTCTTTTCTTAGATGGCTTAAAGTGAAGCCGAAACACTCATTCATAACTATGTTATCAATGACTATATTTACGAATTTTAATTAAAGATAACTTTATATTGAAGAATTCGCGCACCACTAACTGCGTTTGACTCTTATAGTCTTTTTATTTTCAATATTTGTTTTATATATGAAAGCCTTAACACATAAATGCACATAATTAAATATCTTTTTTTTTAGAAATATAAAACGACAACGAATATCTCAATTTCTGCGGCCATTATACAAAAAAGAGAAAAAATATACACTAAAATTTTTTGCAACAATAAATTTTTAAAAAAATTTTCATTTTTTTCTGTTTGGTTTTTACTTCTTAAACATTCTTTGTATTTGAAAAAATCCTCTAATGCAATTTTAAAATAAGAGTAACTTTGCCAAACTAAATTTAAAGATTCTGAGTTGAGCAAAATATCATTACGTAAAAAAAGAGACTATTTAGAAATGTTTAAAACATTCATTTAAAAACATTTTTCATGCATGACTATTTTTTTACTCATATATCAAACATAAAATAAATATATTAATTACAATAAAATTTGTAACTAACCAGTATGTATGCGAATGTGTCCGGTAAGCTGGCCGCCGTTACTGAATGCCATGCTGCAGTGCGGGCAGTTGTGTTTCTTCGGGCGCATCTTCTTCATCTCTTTAGCGACAGCATCCTGCCGATGCACTAATTGCACTGCTTCCTCCATGGAATGATTGTAAAGGTTCAGAGGAAAGATTCCAGGGTAGATTCCGGACTGAAATCCGGGATGTATCGCAGGATAGACACCGGAATGTATTCTGGGAACGTCGGGAATGCGCGACTCGGAGCTCAGAGTCCATGGTCCCGCGACATCTGAATTCGCGATCATCGGATAAGCCCCGATGATCGAGGCAAAATCCTCCGATGATCGAAATTCCCTGAGCGTTGAGACGCAGTTCGGCGAAATAGCGTCACTGTTGAACTCGTCGGAATCCCGAGTGGGAATTGCGCGCGACACCGGAGTCATCGAGTCCACTGCAGGTTGCTGCGAACGGAAGACACGTGAGTTGCGCTTCACATCTTGCGCGAAGGCATCCTCGTCTTCGAGGGATGACATAGCTCTGATCGCTACGTCATCATCAAAGGACTCGCTTCCCCGTGTCCGCGTGCGACGAAAACCGGTTAACGACGTCGAGGCCGAAGTTTCTTGATCCAAGGGATTGCCGTCACAGTCGTCAGACGCCGTTTCGGCGATGCTCGTCAAGGATGTCGACGTCGTCGAGGACACGACCTGCTCGTCGTCTTCCTGCCTGCTGTCTGATACGTCGCGGAGTGCATTGTCAACGATTCCGGACGCCTCATTTGCTGTCTCCAGATCGTTCCAAGGTCGAAATAAACCCATGATCTTCGGCTTGGACATCTCGAGAGGAACTGGTGTTGACGTCGAACACTTCCTCGGTCACGTAAAAACTCCACTGTGTCGTACACACGAGTGGGACAGTCAATCCGACAGTAAGAGCTGTTCAAAGGTAACTGAATACAAATCTAGGCTCATCCCGATCTTATACTTATAGAAATATTTTCCCCTGCCGATGGCCCTTTTGGGGGTCGAGCCAATCCACTTTAGGGATGGAGGAGGGAGGGATCGTCCTTCGTAAAGCATCGGCTGCAGGAGGATGAAAGCGTGGACGCCGTTGGCAGTAGGGGCCGTAGGTGGGTTTAGAGGGGCCTGTCGAGGGCTCGATGCGAGATACGCAGCCCCTTTTGTAGAGAATTAATCGGTCGCTGCGGCCACGGGGCTCTCGCCCCTTTTGTCGCGAGGGAGCACGAGTGCAGGCAGAGGGAGGAAAGGGACACGAACGATCAGCGTGTGGAAAGTCAGCGCGGTTGGAGGGGTAGGGAAAGTCGATGCAGAACCGATACGAACGAACGATATCGAGGGATCGCAAGGCCTATCGTGGGCCCACCCCGTTCGCTCGAGCATGTCGCTTTCTTCAAACTGCTCCGACGAGGCACGCCCGTGACACGAAATTTCACATCGACGCCGATTGTTATTGGTCGCAGAAGGGTTACAATCTCCCTGAGGATCGTCGCACAAGCGTGGGAGATTGGTACAAATCAAACGTTTACTTAGCCATCCGATATTAACCCGATTGTCATATTGTCATCCATTTTTAATCTAGCGCACTCTATTATTTATTAAATAATATTTAATAAGAGATTTTCATTCTTGCATATATGTATATACTAAATATTTTTAATTAGGTAGTAATATAAAAGATAAAAGAAAATTATACTAAAGACAATTTTTTACGTCGTAAGATATCAATACGGTGCATTTAAAAATTTGTATAAGAATATGTTTATCGCGATATTGTTGCATTTAAATGTACACCGTTACTTCTGAGATCGAGTATCACATTTGGAATATAAATACTCACACTTGCAAAGTAAAGAAATAAAAATATTTCTGAAATACAATTACATAAGATTAAGAGAAATTAATAAGTATCAGATATTTCGATATTTTCTTTACTTTTGTAACTAAAAAGAAAGCACAAATTTCTCGATCTTCGAGTCGATCTTTCCTTCTCATCCGATTTTAATGAACTTGAATATCTTGTATATGTAATGCAAAATAAAAACGCATATTTCTTATAAGTTCTTTACACACGTTAAAGTCCACAATTACATGAACTGAAAGAATAAATTGTTTAAAAGCCAATTTAGTTTCTGAAATTGACAGACAGATCAATTAAACATATAATGAAAATTATGTTTACGACAAAGCGAATTAAGCTATTATATATTTCAGATAGTCATATCTGCAAAAACAGATTCTTTAAAATTTTTGTTACAATTTTTGTCGGCAAAATGACAACAGAAAAATAACAGAATCTGTAACGAAATAACTTGATACTGTTGGCAATCTGCTTATGTCGGCAGAGTCTGCCGACGAAGTATGAGTATAATTCAGGTGTGTCAATTCATCGCAATACTGTGCTTGTACTATACCTGCTGACAATTTGCATACTGTTAATATTTTGCTTATGATGATATATACTGATTATTTACGTATAGCATTTTGAAGAGTATAGTACTTTGTAAAAGCACGTCATTGATTTATTGTGTAACGTTCGAAGAGACAAAGAAAATGAAAGAGTCGACCCTCAATGGCCTCAGTAACAGCCTCAGTAACAGATAACCACCCCCGTCGATTCACGTCACTCACCCTCTTCTTCTCAACCATCGGCTGTTTCGCTTTCATCGGCTGTCTCGCTTCCACTGACTGTGACGATACTCTTCTGTCAAAACGATATTTCTATGAAATCAGCCGAGGGCCATTGATGGGTCTTCGGATTTGCCCTTCATCGCATTCATCACAGTGTCGCCGTCGCTCGTTTGCAAAGGGCGCTTGAACTTTACGCAATCGTACACAATCTTCTGGTACTATGTATCACATAATTTTAATAATATTATACATAGATTTTAGTAGCAATTTACAAACTATGTAGCTTATACATATAAAAGAAGTCTCTCTAAAATTTCTCTTAATAAAACGTAAATAAGTACAATTGTATAAGATTTATTTATTTCAAAATAAATAAGTAAATTAATGTCGTATGTATAATGTGTATATATTTGTAATTAAATTATTTTTAAAGAAATATAAGAATATCATTAATTAATTATAAATATTAATTTATTTATACGGTCAAATATGTAGAATTCGTTTATAACTTGGATTTTACCTAAGAGCCTAATGTCTATAAATAACAAGCTATAATCATTTACCCTTTTTTTATATACATGTTATTGTTCTTAAAGCCCATAAAATTCAGATATTTTATTATCATGCCCATAATACAATGAGAATGACTCCAAAAATTAGAAACTCAAATTTTGGGAGAACTTACAATATCTTTCTCCTTTCTTCTTTTTATTTGCGTATGCTCTACTTGAATAGATGTCAACCTGATGATGGATTGATCAGACCTGAGAAGTTACTTCAGTTTTCTTTTCACTAACAGTCTTCGATTCGTCTTACTCAGAGCGACGGATTTCACAACAGCCGATTACGGCTACTGTGCGTCAAGTTGAAATTTCGTCTCTTGCGGTAATGAAAAGGACGAAAGGCATGCGTCGCTGTTGACTCAACGATCGTTCATCGCGGGTTTCTATTTGCAGTCAATGAATGTCTAAATCCCTTCTACCTGCTATTACTTGTTACCATTTCCGGAATCCGCGGAGCATTCGCTATAATTTGTACAGGAGTTAACAATTCTAATGATCAGAATCATAAGTTGACATTTTATTATAAATGCATTTAAGACTAAATAATATCACCTTCTGAATAATAATACCTTCTCATGTGCTTGAGTAATGTACGATTTATAAATTTGCTTTTATAAAATAAGATGAATAAAGGTATTATTCTAAATTATTTATTTATTTATTTATTAAGATTTACAAGCAACCCACAACTCCATCTTTTATCTAATCAAGTTTATAATTTTAATCTGAAACCTGAGATTAATCTCTCGGCGCTTTGTATGAGTAGTGTATCATATGTTGATGATGTACGTCATCAAAACTAAAAAATTGCAGATACGGCTATTTGAACGTCCGTGTTACGGAAACGGTGCATTAAGAGATCCATCAAACGAGCGCCTTTCGCATGATAGTTTTACGCCCCGTGCACTACAATTGCCAAAAATTGGTCCGTTTCGATTGAAATGGAAAAAAAGAACATGAGCGATCGTGGGTGCATCGCTTTCGTTTCGTAATATCGTTTCCTGACGTTTCATTGTACGTCCGTCAATGACCGATGATGGATCAGGCGTCTACAAATATCGTACATTTCTACCCAATCGCGCTGAATTTATTGGGATCACATTTTTTTCGCGGATTGCTGCGGTTTAGGAAGGTATATTGTGCCCGTAGTCGGCAAAAAACTCGCGTCACAAAAAAATGGAGCGTTGCGGCTGTCCGACGGTCTTTGCTGCACTTAATATTTGATTGTCGTATGTTCATAATTTTCACAGTCTTTACACTTGAAATATAAAACGCGTGGATATATAATTCTAATGTTAAATTTATTCTATCCAAATTTATTTGCAATTAGCAATGTGCTGAAATGTAGGCATTTATTCGCATAAAATATGAAATATATTAAAAATATGTATTTATTCTGAGGAGCTTATAATTAAAAAATTACTGATATTTCGATATATGTACATATGCATATATCGGGTATAACTTAAATACCGACCACTAATTACGTAGCGTTATTCCTTGTAAAGAAAACTGAATTGAAAAGTCCTGAACCATTATTTTTTACAGTGCTAAATAAGCGATCACTACTACAATAATTATTACTTAATAAATATTAGACAAAAATAGTTCTTAAATAGCACTTCCTAATCATATAGCACTACTCCTTATAAGAAATTGAATCGAAAAGTCCTGAATCATCTTTCTCTACAATGTTCAATGAAGCATTAATTACTGCAATAGTGATCACTTTATTTAGCATTGTAGAAAAAAATAGTTCAGGATTTTTCGACTCAGTTTTTTTACAAGTAATAACGTTATGTAAAGAACTCCAGAAATGCTGAAATCTTTTTTAATTAAGATTTAAATTATATAATTATTTATAATATGTATATTTAATATATCGAAATCAATATTTAGTTCTAATTACAAATTTTAACAAAACATACATAACAATAGATACATATGTGAAGGGTGATTCAATGCTTCGAATTCGAATAATATTCAAAGCAATCACGGAAAGAAGAATTCGTAAAATAACGTAAAATGTAAAATATGTAAAAGAAAACGACAGATATACCAATTTTTGCCTCGAACCATTCTATATGTATATATATATACCATATATATGATACAGTAAAAACGACGGAAATGCAGAGGGGTACACACGCACGGCAGCCAACGACCAACAAAGACAACTTGTCGCTGCGGTAAGGAGAAAAAAGCGGCATAAATCATTGGCGGGTACCCGCCGATGAATCTCGCCGGGTTCATCCACGTGGAAGGGGCATAATCAAATTTCGCCCCGCCATGCGAGGGGCGGCGACTCTTGCGGTCGTGCACACTTTCAAGGCCTTTCTGTTTGTCAAGAGGGTGGGACCTGGTCGAGGGCTATTATAGGGCTCACCCTGGGCTCTCCGTGAATATTCTCCCCTTTCCCCCTACCCCCCCCCCCTTTCGCCCTGAAGAAATGTGGGGTGCGCTACTCCCAGAAAGTCATCCAGTCATCCGACCATCCAGCAGCCACCAGACAATTGCGCGTGACGTGACGTGACGTGACGTGACATCACGCTCTTACGCCGAAGAAATGCTACTCTTCGTCGAGGAAACAAATCTCATACAAGAGAATCTTATTTCTCATGAAGC